TAATAAATTACTGTATTTACTTATATGGATATATATTATAATTTACGCTGAATTTTGACTCTTGCTGTTGTGATTTAGAATAAAGTCTTTTACTGTTCGGTGCTTAGCTCATCCACGAATAAAACTTGCTAAGCAGTGCTACCAGACTACATCGGATAGTGAACCTACTCATTAACACCCGATAATAATCGATCACTTGGTTAATTGTAACACTAAACTCCTTTCATATCAAGCTACGACCAAGACAGTTGGGCTGCGATTGCTGTTTCGTCGCACTTATGAAGCTTTCAGTAATTCCTACGTTTTAAGTAAATTGTTTGGGTTTTAGTAATCAATAAACGCTCTTCTCTAAAACTCTTCCTGACTCTTAATTACGAAAATGAATTTAGAATTTCATGGATGAAAGCCTTTTCAAGTCAAATTTTGTTCTTGTAAGGCTAGTTCTCAAGTGTGTAATGCATTCACCTAAAGATCAGTGCATACGTATAAGAGATCATTTATGTCCTACATTAGTTTGAAAACAAAACTAAGTTATGAAGCATGGTCTCTCTTAATTTACTGATAGTCTCCAGATATTTCTCTACTAGTGTGCACATTTTCTAGATTAGCAACTATTTTTGCTTCCAGTAACCCGAATAATCATATGAAGAAGAAAATAAAAATGAACATTTTGCACTTTGATGGGTGAAGCGTGAGCAGAATGAGGAAACTAACTTGATATGTATATAGAAGTAACCAAATAAAAAGCTAAACTGTCTCAACAACTCAGTGCACGTTGATGCAATGGACAGTTACCCAGACCTATTGTGTGGGAACTAATTATACCACCCGCTCGTCAATACTTCACTAGGTGGTGCAAAGTTAGAACTTCTGACCCACAGTTGCACAACAATCCTTCACTACTTAAAGAACTGACGTGCCAAAGAACTGTAGTTTGTAGTCTATGAAGAGATTCCTCGGGATAAATGAATGACCAGTTATCAAAATCTTGTACACAATTGTATATCAATGGTCACATTTGTGTCTCTACAAATGTAACTAAATATCAACAATATCATAGGGATTTGACTAAATTTGTACATAAAAATATATATTTATTCAAACTACATAGATTCATTCCAGAATGCATAAAATCGCCATCGATTTAACAATTATACTTTTATTAGTGGTAACATGAAAGATAGTAAGTCCCCAAAGTCAAATTTACATGAGCCTGAAGGTATAAACTTCCGAATTCCAGATTAACTTTTTGGCGCTTCTTGGTTCATTAGCTATCGCAACTACAAATGAGTCTGTTTTCCTAAATACCTCTCAATTAAAAATGAGAACTTTTTGAAACTCAAACAGGAAGTAAATCTCTTGATTCTTACTCTTCTATTCATTCTAGTGTTTGCTTATAACCATGCTACGGTCTTCGAGCGCTAACAACTTGCATTGAGAATATCTGAAAAAGCCGTGGTTCAGAAAACTGGTACTACTGATATGCCGAACAGAAAATGAAAACATGAATGGCCTTCTTTATTGATATGCCTAACATAGAAAGACATGCTTTTACAATTTCACCGGATAGTATGGTCTACCACAGATTAAACTCTTTAAAAACGACGGACTGAACGAAAATATTTATATTCCTTCTCAATATTTATTTAATTCGTGCTACTAAACTTGTTACCGTTTATTTGACCTTTTAGTAAGCCAATCTGTTCTCAGTAAAACACGTACCATATGTTCTACGGTCATAAAACAGCACTAATAACCTTTCGAATCAATGTGAACATTTCCTTCAGAACTTGCTGTTGTTAGAAACAGATATTTTGCGATCTGACGAAACAGTGACCTCCATGGAAGAGTGTACAGGTTTGTAGTCAATATTAGCGTCTATACACTATCAAATGTCTTCGAAAGATAGATAAATGCCGTTCGTTTGACTGACAATCAGAAAACATCTACAAATATCGAATCAGTAAACATTTTTATTTCGGCGTTAAAGTCTCTAACCATCAGGGTAGCATTGTGTTCTATTAATTAAGGTGATTTTCGACCGATATTGCTCATACTATATTAGTTACAATTCCTGAGAGGCATACATAAGAACTATGTAGATGCTTTAACGTGAATTCCAGTCCTTATAAGCCTTTGCACAACTATCATGCAACAGCTCAGATTCTACTACAACCCAGGTTCCATTAGAAAATTTATGCCTCCCCTGATAGTAAGCGATATATCTGTTCTGAACGATTAGATGCAACTAAGTTTCACCACCATTATGGAGATGAATCTCAACCCTTATCACAGAAGTGAAATTCTTTAAAACTAGTTTTTAATTTATACAAGAGAAGTTGTAGATTTCCTGAAGTTCATATTTAAAACGATATAGTACAATTTTGATGTGATTAAATTATTTGAATACTATGCATTTCAGTATCATCCTAACTCAATGTTCTGCATAAACCCTGATTAGAAGATTCTAAATGAATACCCTGTCCAAATGAAGTGGTGTTATATATATACCTGGAAAAGTAACCTTCGCAATCACACACGTTCATTGTGACTAGTGATTTCAAAGATGTTTAGGATCAGTTAGGTTAACCCTCATCACAGGACACGTTTTAAAGACAACATTTTGTGACTATTTTTATATGAGTAAGACAAATAAACAAAATCAGCGCAGCAAAAACAAGTGCAACGGATCAACTTGCCACACTTCACAGTAGTACGCAAAGAGCAGGTGGACAAGAAAGACTGATATCAAAGTTATGTGAGATAAAATAATTTGAAGGTGTAAGTTAGCGCAAACATTCAAGCTTTAGATGTCATACAGAAAATATATCTGTCCCATTTTAAACGATTTTTAGCCATATCACTAACAGTCCTCAACCTCTGGTTCCAATCGTCTCGGGGAGCCCATGTAGATAGTCACCAACTCCAAAAATGGCCCAGACTAACAGTCAAGAACTTCAACTAGTTGCAGGTCTTGGGTTAACCAACCTGAACCCTCTCCTAACTTAATTTAAATTTCCCTACCACTGCATGTCGAGTTAGGAGATGGATCGGTAAGGGTAGTACTTGTCTAAACTATCTTAGATGACTTAAGTTCACAACCTCATTAATCGAATTGCCTGTTTTCCTAGTACTCTTCTCTAACCTCAACATTGTTCATATGGTGATTCCACCGAACGCGAGCACTGCTACGAAAACACCTGTAACCGCTTCATATCTTCTACTTTCAACAGTCATGTCTTACAGCAGTATAACAGGACAGAACTGAATGCAGCGTAGCTTACTTATCCTTCGATAGATTATCAGATATCTAGCCAATCGGCTCCAGAGATGGTGCAAGTTGGCAAATGCTAAACGGGTCTTCTGTATTTGACCTGCTGTTTCGCCGGAAACCACCCCGTTCGGGATGATGCAACTCCCCAGGTGAGTGAAGTGGTCGACACATTCCACCTCTTCACTTCCTATCATTAAACTAGAAGCAGCTGAAGACCATTCCGGGAGTGTAATCTTACATCATACAATAGCGAAATGCATGCCAAACATATTCAGATTTCTGCCCAATGCTTTCAGAAGACCCTGCATTTTGTCATCGTCTTCACCCAGAAGGAGAATATCATCATCACACCCCAAGTCAACCAGATGACCTTCAGGAAAACGAATAATTCCTGCGAAGTTAGACGTACCTAACGTTAAATCCATTTATATGTCTGTGACGAAGTTATATAGGAACGGTGACAGTGGGCATCCCTGGCGGACACCACCAGTTGCCATCAACTCACACCACAACTCTGAATAAACCCTCACATGGCTGCATGAGTTCGAATAGAAAGCTTCTATAATCACTATATAATTGCTCTGTGCTCCTTTCACAATCAGACACTGTCAAAGCACCCCTCGGTTGACAGAGTTGAATGCCGCCTTCAGGTCAACAAATATGGCAAGTGTTCCAGAAACTGTAGAGTGATGAGTCTTGTCGATACACCATAGTCCAGGTGTGATTTTCCTTAGCTCCAGTTGCGCATCGGATAACTATGTACCCTAGGATATTGCACACAATATTAGTCAAACTAATTCCCCTACGGCTGTCATAAGAAAACCTCTCTCCTTTCTCATACACTGGAATGACAAGTGAAGTAGACCAGTCTGAGGACATTACATTTAATTTCCATATCTCTGTCACTCTAATCAGCAATTTCCTACCTCTATCCTTCAAAATTTCAAATGCTTAACCGTCAGATCCAGCTGCTTTTATGGTTTCGGGTTGAGGACAGTCTCTTCAACTTCAAAGACAGTTAGATGACCTAAATTTACGTCATCTTCGGGTTCAGACACGATGTTTGGCTGCTGAGGCGTTTCTGTCGGCTTCAAAGTGTTTTACCCACATGATCTGAAAAGTTATGAGCGTCCCATCCTTTTCGATGATGGTTTCACTAACCATCGTTTTCTTCCTGCCAGTATGCTTAAATAAGCTCAAATAGTTGCCGGGTGTTACGTAACGCAGATACCTTACCCATCTTTCCAGTTTTAGCCACCCACTACTCCTCGCGACCATTGTGAAGACTCTTGGTCAACTTATATTAAAGCTGCTTTCGCCATTCACTGTGGTCAGACCCAGTTGGAATGAGTCTTCTTGCATGGATCATTTCAGATGACGTTGCAGAAATTCATCGACGTTTGGTAATAATTCGGTGTGGGTTACTAACTATCTTTACCACTGTTTCTACATTACACCTAATATCATGCCAGGTTTCCTCAAGATGAGGGTTGCTGTCACGTTCAGATAAATGCTTCATAGGAGTTGACAAAGCGTGTAAAAGATACAGATAAGGAGGCTATGATCGTTTGTATGAAACGTCTTGCAGTCATGTGAACTTGACATTCTTGGAATTCAGATACCCACCCGCCGTCTGTGGCATAAACGGTTAATGTTTATTATTCGTCACCTGTTTAAATTCGTTGAGACATCTGAACCTTAAGAATCGAATTCAGGAACACATATCAGACAATATGCATTTACCTATATTGTAAAAAAGAAATTTAAGTATTACAAAATATCCAAAAAGGAAAAAAGGTAAACTCAGTAAACAAATGTCACTAATAAACCAAAACGGAGGCTGTACAAATAAAAAACAAATTCAGATAAGATAAGAAATGTCCATTGTTTCCTCCTCTGACTCTCTCTCTGCTCATAGGATGACAAAAAAGGAAAAATTATGATTAACATATAAAAGGAGAAACAATACAGCAATATTCACAGTCATGATCATAATTTTATAGAACTCTGTATAAAAAGAGTTAGACGGAATGGAAGTAGAAAAACGGAGGTACTGGAAATACGAAAAAACAAGTAGACAAGAAAGTAAATATATGTCAAAACAACAATGCCAAATAAAGACAACAACAACACAAAACTGTCAATAAAAAAATCAATATTTCATTCAACTGTACAACAAAAATAATATGAATTCGTAATTATATTATGAAAGACTGTAGTTCCTCGTACTGTTTACTATCCTGTATTCAAAAATTTAGTGCAACTTTTCATCGTAAGCAAGGTGGAGAGATACAGTGAATGTGACAGGTTAACTGACGATTCGATCGAACAGGAAGAAATGCGCTGGATTCACTTGGCAGTAATAAATGTACACGACTCTTTTTAGGCGAATACTTTTCATTATGAAAATCCCAGTCGACATTCCTATAAGTGAGTAATTATTGAAAAGGAAAAATGAGATTAGAGAACGAATTTCTAAGGCAATGCATTTTATAAGCGAATTGTATAACAGATGGTCAACTAATAAATATATTTCAAGCCTAAAGATGATATACAACAACTTTTATTACTTCCGAACCACTTTAAAAACTAAGGAACCTAGTGATCATTATGATTGATCCTGAGATGATTATTTACAAAATTTTGCTCAATCATAAAAGTCAAACATAACAGTACAAGTTATGGAATATTAGTACATTAACATTTTTGTAGAATAAGTGAGTAATATAAGAACAACAGAGTATCGGTCAAAGTACCCATACTTCAAATCGAACTTAAAACGAAGAATGATGACAAAAATATTAAATATGTCATAATATGAGTACTTAGCGAGAAACACTCCCTTTCCCAGGTTGACCAATCAACATAAACCGGTGTTAATATGCAAGGGGCACAAATGCACATTGTGGTAGAGTTTAATTCTATATCAGATCAGTTTATTTGATGTTGAGTATTACCAACTAGATAAAGACATTAAAAATAATACTGTATCACTGTGTGCTGCCAAATAAGCTAATCTGCTTTGGAAGGTATCTAACTACCTACAAAAGGAGTCAAATCAAATACAGCTGTTATAGACGTATGAACCAAAATGCGTGGATACAGATACTTGAAAGAAACTCTCCTTCGCTAAAAATGTTAAAATACCAAAATCATCGATACCAGAAATTATAAGCCACTAAGACAAGATAAGTCGGAAGTAATATGAAGTGGAATTCTTTATCGCATCGGCAACTAAATTGTGCCACTAATTTTAAAGACAAATTGGTGAGACTCGGCGTTTTGGTCGAATATTTATTAAATGGGTAGTAAATATGGTAAAATACCACTGAAATTGGATGTGAATAATTTCAACTACTTTTGGACTATTTAATTTGCCTAATTTAGCACGCAGTGTAGCAATTTTACTAACTAGATAACGTTTCAAACACAGTAATTCTATCAAACAGTGGTAGATCTACAAAACCAATTAAAGTGGAATTACGATTTACCACAGTGTCCAATCCTTATTCTTATAATACTTTCGAACTAAGTATAGAAATATCGTAATATTTTATACGGATATGACTTTTAGCATAGACTTATGAAAAATAATCGTAGGATATGTACAGACTGAGTGAAGTAACTGATGAGCTAATCTGAGATGTGAGCAGTACCGATCAGTTCTCAAATTTCATCCAGCTGAAGTGAAACAAAAGCAGCTTCACTTACCACTTGATATGATAATTACCGGTCCCAGTAAGCAGCTGAATCCGTTGATTCTGACAACACAATATTTATCAGAAACATCAAAAAGACTTGAACTGCTGGGTAAGCAGACATTCTATCCAGCAGTACACCTATCAAACTCTTCAACTTACCGTTTCATCGTTGATGGTGAGTTGCAGTCTTCTGTTACTGGAATTGTTTTATGCTCAAAACTATTAGCAACGTCTTCGATGTGTTGTTCTGCACCATCAGGTGCACCCCGTTTTAAGAACGTAGGGCGTGCCAGACTAGGATTATTCAAAGCAGATGGATGGAGGATTTGTTGGTCTTGTGATTCCAAGATATTCATTCCACAGGGTAGACGTTCGACGATCAAAGGAGGAGGAGATGGTATAGAAGGAGATAAATTGAAATCCGAATCGAAATTTGAGTCCAAACCAGAATAACGAAGAACAGCATGGGATCTTAGAACATCAGGGTTGCAATCATTAGCCCATTTTGGATGACGACCTGAGTAATACAAAAGATATACACATAAATTAATAACACCTAGCAAAACTACAACCAAGAGAAAAGATTATTTTCGAAAAAATAGCAGGAAACATATACTCACATTTTCTACGAGTCTTACCATGTGTATAATAATTCAAACATTCCCATTGTAGTAATTGGAAAGCTGCTTAAGCAAAAATGTATTTCTGGACTTAAGATTATATTTACAAATTACTTAACATAGTCATTTGATACCATCACCGTTGATAGTGTTCGGGATTAGAGGATAACAATATAAAAACACTAACAAAATCTTGCAAAATTTATATAATCTCAATCTTCAATCATCGTAGATGTGTGAGTGGGTCATGTATGTTTAGGCATAGGTGGGGGCAAATTATTGTCGTTTATTTCACCTTTGATGAAATGTTTAAACTCTTATTCAATTGTGTAAGCATAAACAAAGACAAGTTTCCAGGTAACCTGGAAGAAAATTATTGTAACTGCATCTGGGTTGAAGTTGAAAGTTATGGAAAAGGAAGGGATAGAACCAGCATCTTTTATCTATATAAATTAGGTTTAAAAACCCCAATTGCTATGATCTATACAAGGCTTAGTAAGCAAAAGCACATAAACTAGGAGTATTGTGAAGACATTTTGCATAGAATGCTAAAGGCTGAGGTTTTATCGATATTATATTTAGTATTTCTTACGTGGGCTTGCCGGGTCGTTTTACCTACGTGGTTATCTTCACAGGACCAGTTACATTTCTAAGTACACGTAGATGTGGCCGTGCCTATCTTCTTACAACGATATCAGACAATGAATAGTAAATTTCAAAGCGCTGCAGCAACGAAAGTGTTTTGTACCAGTTTTCTGAGTTTCAGTGTCACAGATTCTACAGCTGCATCGCATCTGGAAAATGAAGTTACATATTATCGTTTCTTCACTATCTGAAGGCATTTTTCTCCAGCTGTCTTCATTGTAGCATACTTTACGAATTCTCAGGATAACGACTTTATATGAAGAGCATAATGAACAGAGGAGTTGTGGTCCACAAGTCGGCCTACAGTTTACTTTACAATTAGGACAGTATATAATAAAGTATTTCTCAAAATGTACCAGTTTTAGTATACACAGGATGATGTCACCGACCTAGAGCATAAATGCTACAGCATTGCGTCATGAACATTAAAAGTTGGAGTGGTTAATCAGTGCGCCCTTCACTCTATATTAGGGGTCCAGTTAAATGAGGTCAACTAAGGCTAGATCAACAAATTTTAATTAACTACAAACGTTCTGTTACCATAATGCTTACGTTTGTTTAGTCCTGGATTTCGTTTTAGACTGGTTTTTCACACCGTGCTGAAATGAACTGGTCTGAACATGCCAATACAAAAAGAACGGATGATATGTAAATGCCCTACCACAAAGGCAAAAGCAGATGGGCTTGTAAGGGGAAGAGATAAAATAACCTTTTTGGCATGTGAGCCAACTTGTCGGCCAGATGTTTAGGCGAACAGAGACTGAAGGTCAGGCGTGAGGACGACAGATGTTAGCAGTTCACAAAAGGTGGGTAGAAAGTAAGATAAATGTAAATATTTTATAAAAGATGAGGGAGAACTTAAAAACAAGGGTGGTGGTGAAGACAGAATGAACGAAGAAGGGTTTATTAATTTGTCAGCCAAAAAGGTTTAGACTGGTCTGAAATGAATAAAGAGGTCACAGGAATGCTGCCCTTAATCGGACAAAGGAAGGATGGATATGAATGCCAAATGTAATCACTTTAATCTTATTCATATACTTGTGATAAACAAAACTGAATTAAAGCGTAGACAAAGGTTATTATTCCCGTCATATAAAATCTAACAAAACCACACGCACATAGAAAAACAGCAACTAATAGTAACATAATATTCGTGAAAGTATATAGACATCTTTTTGTGAACAAATACTGAACCTTCCTTGTGATGCAGACAGATGTACAACTAAATGAAGAAACGAAGTTTACAAATCGCAAACTTTTGCATGATTACCAATCAAAAATGGAAAACTTCTAACATTTTATTGGTAAAAATAAAGTTTTATTTACGATGAAGTATATTGAACGATTTCCAACAATTCAAAACTAGTATCGAAGATACAATTTATCATCAGTTATAACGATATGCATTATCATCGAAGTGATTCGATCGTAATATGGAATGCACATTATTGTGCATCACTGGATTACACAATCACTTTGCGTCACACTGCCGTATTATTTGCTATTTTAGATGTGGTCTTTTGACATTCTGCGTCATTTCCCCGCATGATGCTTGCACATTGAAATCGGTACACAACATTTCTAGCATACGGCAATTACCTGATATTTAAAGAAACCTCTGGAACAAAAGCAGAATAGTAAACTCGGAACATCCATCTACTATAATAAGAGAATGTGTGAACATTTCCTCGCAGCATCATACTGCCCTAGCATCCAACACTTAAGAGGCACCGGTAAACAACAAATATAAGTAATTAATTCAGGGTGATCACTAATGGTTGCAGAAAGAAAAAGTTATCACATGGAAAAAGACGAAACATCCTAAAAGCAGTGAAGTAAAAAGTGTCTTAAATGTGGAAACGCCTAAAAGCTTCAATAGTGGAAGTGGTTATTTTAAAGATATATACGCGCACCATATGATATCCTAGACAGTGGAGGTGGAATAAGGTGTGAATCACGTTCTGACCGCAGTGAGCACATTATCAAAATGACAACATACTTAGTGTTTTTCAGTCTACCAATAACCATTCATCAAAGTTTATACAGAAAATGGAAAAGGTAACTACAGTGTCAGCCAATATACTTCACGCAATAGTTGCTAAAGGACAGAGATTCTATCGCCATCTTGAAAATAAAAATGCGTCTAGCGAAAAATCGCCTGAATTTTGGTAAATGGTGCACATCTCAAGCTTGTGATTTAAATTACTGAAAGCTGACAGCTTAAGCTGTTGAGCCACGCCTTTGAGAATGTTGAGATTTAGAGGGACCAATTATGATCATATTTTATGTTTTTTAAAAGAGCAATACTCTGAGTATAGTTCAAAAAAGAAGTAATAGGTGGTAAGTACCCATGGTTAAAATAACAACGAACAAAAAGTACGAATGTGATTGAAATATTGATCAATTTATACCTGTTATCTACCAATAAATCCCATAAAAATAAAAATCCTCATAAATAAAAAGCGTCATTTTCCCCGTTACTCAAGCAGCTCTAGTGTTTTGGAAAAAAAAAGATGGAAGTGGTGGATAATTTTAAAATTCATCTAACAGGTTACTAACCAACTTACACTCCGATTCAACTAGAGAACTAGGATGCTGAAACTAATACTAAAAGTATGAAAAGCGCCATAGATATTTTCAACTACACTGTGGTTAAATTTTTTTACATAAGTTAAATGTCAAACAACTAATCTCTTTAATAAATTTCAATAACCTTATTAGAAGACGAAGATTATCTGAAAAATGTGATGTATTTTCGCAATACATTTCGAACAATCTGATCACACACTTACTTGCCACATCAATTTATATATGAAAATGAAAACACATTGTCAGAGTGTCAGTCTCCCACGTACGAATTGGTGAAGTGGTTAACCGGAATACTGAGTCCGATTCGTAATATTTTATGTACGTATTCACTGAAAATACTCCTGAACTTGTTGGTAGTCTCACTGGTATGAATATCAAAGATAAGAAAATGCACTCTTTCGATGTCAACTCTTCATTTGCGACTGTATCCCTAATGAAGACAATTAATATTCTTTGCGACTATATATCCTCGAATTATCTTCCTTTGCCTATTTACCCAATGTATTTGAAGGAGCTACTTTCATTATGTACTGATAAGGTTCATTTCACTTTTGAGAATGAACATCTGTAAATTGGTGGTATTGCCATAGGGATTCCGTTAGGAGTGTTAGTAGCTGCTTTATATAGGTCACATATTGCACTAATGGCTCAGGATTTAATCAGTAATGTAACATTCTATAGAAAGTATGTTGATGATATCTTTGTAATATGTGACATAGATGACGATGCCGGAGGCTGTTAAAAAGGGTTAATACCGTACAAGAACATATTAGCCTGACACATGAGGAAGAAAATGACCATCAACTTGCATTTCTTGATATACTCTCGTGTCAGAGGGAAGACGGACCTATCATACGATCAATCTATAGAAAGCCTACTTGGACGGGACAACACTTGAGTTTCTACAGCTTTTGTCCAATGAAATATAAGAGGCTTAGTTAGTAAGATGCTTATTGAATAGGATCAAACGTATTTGTACATCTGATCCAATGCACAATGAGAGGGAATTTCTGACAGATACACTTATGGAAAACGGATATCCACAACAATTTGTGAACCGTTGCAGAAAACAGCCAACCCCCAAGCCTATAATTTCCTCTGTCCCAAAGAAGGATATATTTCTTAAAGTATCATACAGAGGGAAAACGAGTAATATGATATCGAAACAGATTAAAATCTGTTATCAGTAAAACATACTATGGAGCTCAGCTTATCATTGATGAGACAGCAAAAACCTGCTTCGCCACGAACCTCAACCTCACATAAATGATTGCGTCACATTCCATTTTTACCAGTTTACATGTATGTGTGGGCTCATACATAGGGAGGAGTAGTCGTACTATGCAGACTAGGGTGTATGAAAATATGCCTAAATGGCTTGAAAAAAAATTTTAACACACAAACTTTGATAAGTGCAGGGACAGACGTCTTCATCTATAGCAAAACATATCATCAAAATAAATCATAAGGTTAATACGAAAACAGCACTCAAGATACTACATAGGAACAGTTAGGGGCGCATACCGAAATTTGTCGAAGCGTTAGCCATTATTAAACTTAAGTTCCCGTTGCGTGTACAAAGATGATTTGTTACTTCCCTTAATTTACCTTGGTAATCCTTATGTTATTACATTACCTTTTCATATTCATTACATTTGACCTTTAATTTTCCCCATTTTCATATATAAACTGACTTGACAAGTAAACGTGTGATCAGATTGTTCAAAAGGCATTGAGAAGATACATCGTATTTTTCAGATAATCTTCGTCTTCTAATAACGTTATCGAGATCATAGTCTAATAAAACGTGGGTGCCAATGAAAGCAAGCGACTTGCATAACTGACAAAATGAAGACGACGCGAGAAGTGGAAAAATGAGAGCGTATATTTGGCCAAACACTTCAATAAATGCACTATCGGAATAAGAAATTAAGATTATACTACGCATTCGTAAGTGACTGTGGAGAAAAATGAAATGTCAAGAGTGAAACACTTCATTTAAATTCATATAATTTACACCCTGCTAACAGAAGTAGACTAACAATTTCACTTTTTTCTGAAAACCACACCTACGAATCTGATGAAAATCGATGCTGTGGAAAACAAATTTAGCATTGTATACGCATTTTGATTGCATTTCACTTTCGAATAAATCATACGGTGTGATTACATATTGAGAGAATACTTTTTATTTCACGTCAACTTCACAATATAAGTCTGATTATCATTTGAATGAAAGCTAACAAAAATAAATACGCAGATACCGTTAAAGAAAATTACCCTCCACACCAACTTACGAATAAAAACCCCACCATTTGGTAGAATATTAGTTATCGAAGCCAAGGGTTTCAGTGGGATTTCATCCGAAAATATATTTGGCTCTTCATAGATGCTCTCAACAGGAGGAGATGGTAGTGAGTACGAACGATTCATCAATGCCAAATCAACATCACTGGATGCAGGCAGAAGTGGTGGTGGTGGTGGCAAGTCCGGATGGCAAAAAATGTTTTCTTGGCTGACGCTCCCATCTACCTCAGAACTTGCGACTGTCAGGGAGTGCGTCGAATGAGAAGGTAGCGAAGAAAGGTGACAAGGAATGGGTTTAAACAGTTTTTCACATTCGACCACTTGATGGTCATCTCCACTGCTACTACCGCTTTTGCAAATCCTTGAATCATAGCAGTGATTTTCAAAGCTATTCACATCCCCACTTTTGACAGGTAAGGAAAGAACTGGAGGAGGAGCCTTTGGTCGGCAATGACGATACCAGGGAGATGACAGGGTGGTTTTGGTGGGACTTGAAATACTGAGATTTGTCTTCCTTTTAATACTGGACGAAGAACTGTCATCTGAGAACTCCAGAGGAAATGAACTTGATTCACACCCTACCGAATGACAGGCTGTTTGGGATACGGTTTCGCAGTGGAAGGTATTGGTATGATCCTAACAAATAAAGCAATAAAGTGAGATTAGATTCGGTAGTAGTAGTAGTAGTAGTAGTAGTAGTAGTAGTAGTAGTAGTAAAATCAATGAGAAACACACGATACAAAATTTCCACCGGCTGCATCTTTAACGTGAACAAAATACTATGTGACAAAGATACCTTGCTAAGGCACTGAGAAATACTTCAAACCTATCTGCTGAAATTTTAAAGTAACCCGGTCCCTGAAATTTAAAATACAACGCAGTGAACACGTTTAGGTTTATACACTAGAAAGTGGACGAATTGTACTGCATTAGGACTAACAATAGTTTCTAGTCATCAAAACTCAAGTCACTGAAACAGGTTTTGGGAACGTTATCCACTGGTTCAAAACAAAGAGCCCTTATTCAAACAGTCACAACTAGAGTTTCTTCACAACTTGAGTGAGCGCTGTTGTGATATAGATTAACAGCTAACCGAAAAACAAATCAGTACAACTTTCATCATTCTGAACACCAAAATTTAGTCTCTGAAATATAGGTCTGGAATCGATGAAATCTACAAGAATGGTAACAACTATTACAACAAAATTTTAAGGGATCAAAAGTATTTAAAAAGCCACTGGACTACTGCCTTTGGTAAACATGACTCAATAACTTCGATGATAAATTCTTCTAAAAATAAAACAGAAATACTGAGTAAATACGTATTTGTCACCACGGTAATCCATTTGTAAAATAGTTACATTTTAATAGTGGTTTCTGCTATGAAATTCTCGGAAGGTTCTCGTTCGGTGAAAAGCCGCAAATATTTTCATTGTTTGATCCTGAACTTTACAGTAATATATAACTTAGACAAGACTTGACATTTAATATAATGCTAACTATTTGAGGGTGTGCTGACGCTCCGCTAAGCATGTAGCACAACAGAGTAAAACAATGCTCAAATAAGATACGTTAACGTATTTCAAGATAAATCATAAATGCCCTACATAGAGATATATAGGTAGATATAAAGCATTCTTATCTTGACATAAATGGTTTGCAGATAAAAAAGCTACATCGAATTTACAACTGAACAAACCTGTATAAGAAGATGCTCAACACGACTGGCTAGCTGGCTAATACGACCAGATTTATTAATTGAATCCCTCTTAGCTGTTAATGCGGTATTACAACTGAAATGACTTTCACGACGCTTTGGTGATGAATGCAGTATTTCATTATTAGAATACGACGTCAAATTTTTATGGGAATAACTGGTAGAGTGTATTTTTGATTTTTGTGAGGAAGGACGATAGTACAGCGAAAAAACATCATTCTGAGATTTCTGAAATAGAAATAATATATCAAAACGAAGATCAGACCACTTGAGAAACTACATAACTTAACACAATGATTTATAAACAATCCAATAAATGAAACCGAAAAAGCTACACTGAGACAAAGGTCAACCTATGAGTCTTCTGAACTTATAATCAAACTACATAACACTTTGTCATGGCTGAGTCTGGCGTTTTACTGAACAAGTAATTAAAGCCAAAGCAAATTTACGTTAGAATTTAAGTCAACAGTATTTGAGTAATCAATTTTAACGGTTTAGATAGATTTCTGTCAAAAAGCTTACACAACTGGGAAGATGACAAAATACTATTGTTCTATCAAAAAACAATAAAACTTGTAACTTTCTAAAAGCATTTTAAATCTTTGGAATAAATCACTTGGTGACTGAGTTATGAAAAAAGGTTATTAGAGCACCCGTAGTAGTTTTGTCTCTGAATATGATGCGATATGCGAGCCGGAGAAAATTGCAAAGTAAACCATTAGAAAACAACACATGTTAACATTAAGAAATATGCGGACTCAAATAACAGGTATGTTTGCAACGCCATGACCCGTTTGTGTGCAAGTACTTTAACACTGACACTAGAGACACACGGGGGTACTAAGATTTACTGATCCATTAAATTCAACAACGCGACAAATTTATTACTTCCAGGCTAACAAAAACAATGAGCAGAAAAAATCTGTCTCATCGCGAAATGGATCCTGTTTCTCCCAAAGCAGCATAAATCACTAATCTGTCAATATGTGCTCTAAGTCCAGTAGCGAGTATGAGGAAAGCAGCCAAACGAATCTAATCCAAACAAGAACACTGACTCACTAAATTAGATACAATTGACTGAGCCTCTTGTCCAGTAATTAATGGCCTGCCAAGCCGTGCCCAACTTTCATTGAAATCTGAAGGGCGAACTTCCTTTCCAGAAACTGGTGATTTATTCTCAGCATTTGATGAACCTAATTGAAAATGGTCATGACAAGTGTTAAAAGTTCATATTAAGCAAACATGTAATATAATTGTTAACTGCATTTTTAACCTGATTATTTACACAATGTGCCCTGCACATTACGCTGTTACTAAGTGATGATCAAGTGAAGAACTTTAAAAGGCAACAAAAATCTGGAAAGCCTGGAGAAGTCCCTTGACTTTTGATACTAAATTAGTATGGTGAAACTAGTAAGTATTCTATGAATCATTTCATCACTTAGGGACGAAGTTAAGCTATTTTCGGAGCCCAAAAAGGCGATTATGAGATGTCAGAGTTTAAATTGAGGCTTTATAAACATTTCAGCAACTCTAAATGAACTAACTGATACCCATGCGAGCCAGCACGCAAGACGTTATCATCTGCATGGTGTGACCCACAAATCAAAGTGACAACGGCAAGAGTATGTGAAAAATTCAACCAAAAGATTTCATAACAACAAATCCATCGTTCACCGGGACTATAATTTCAAAATGTTCCCAGTGAAAGTGAAGTAGTTTGCAAATATGTCTAACATTACTGCCACAAGAATAACAACTTAAGTATAATAATCTGCCACTGCGTAAATTTCACCCCGCTGCTATTTAATCATGATTTCAACACAGTTTGCACTGCAGACAAATAAATGGTGGCTCACTGAGTACTCATAAGTGGTACTAAGACGTCCTAGTAGCATTTTTGTGGAGCAAACGAATCTCGAAACCAAAATTATTCACTGTTTCTCCAGAAAACGTGGCTCTGAACAAGCTGCTCGCCTAAAACACCTACCATAAAATAGTGTAGACTAGATTGAACATTGCCACGAAAAAGTTATGCGAATTATATTGCAAGCACTGTAATCATATCGGACGAGAAATGCAAAATATTAAGCATACATTGAAATTCAACATACACTTAGATTTGGATGATCCCGGTATTTCCGACAAGGCAGTGCGATTGTGGCGACGAACTTTCCTCGGACCAAGTGGACTCATCTCAACTCGCTAACTGGGAGCCGTTTTGAAAAGTGCGCACATACTACAGATGGACAAAACCAAATACCTTGTACAATGTACATAAAGATAAACAACATGATTTTTTGCACAGCAAACAAGATAACACCTATAGCACTTTAATGTCATTCTGAGTATTAATGGTACACAAATCTATGATTAAATGAAGTATTTAGTTTGTATGCAATGGAATAGTTCAAACAAAGAGGGTTCTGCTAATGTGGCTTTTGATAGTCAAGAAACAAATCCCTGTTTCTGGAGATCCACATAAAGCTTGTAGCGTCATACACTTCCCCAAAATCAATAGCCTAGGGTTTGACGACTTCGACATTCATGCTGACCTTGATAGTTTAACTGGACTCGCTAAGCTGAAGGCACCCGGTCAAGCATCCTCGCCATTTGGCACGCTGTCGTGTTACGTTGCATTGCTCGTATTCGGCTCTCTAGCCAGTTAGTTGGAACGCATCGGTATTTTGGCATAACCATCCAAATATACTATTCCATCCGACTACGCTATCGTGTTCTTCCTTGGTCTCGTATTCGTGGGTATATAACAAGTTCGAATAATTAGTGATTGGTCTTTGCGTCTGTCAAGTTCGCACCAGGACAAATCCTAAATTGGTGAGCCCGACGTGATCAAATACCCGACGTGATCACATATCCCGAACAATAGCAAGTATTGAATTGGTGAGCCTGTTCCATTTTATATTTGTTTATTGTTTTCATTTCGATAACATTTATATATCCATTTACTACACTTTCTCATGTCCGACCAAACTCCCAAGCTTATTCGTATTAAGCCGACCTCGAACACGATCCAACTCGTGCCATATTGGCCAGACAATGCAGAAACATGGTTTCTGTATGCTGAAGCCGATTTTCGAGAACAAGGTGTCTCAGATCCTCAATCTCGATTTCTTGCCGTCATACGTTCACTACCGCGAGAATTAAACAGGTTTGTTACAGCAAACATGTTTAATCCTGAAGTAAGTGACCCTTATGCACTTCTAAAGGCCGCACTGTTGAAGAAAAGCGATCTCACAGATCGCCAACGTCTGGACGAATTGCTTCGTAACATCGAGCTAGGCAGCCACTCAGCTACTGAAGTCCTCGCACGCATGCGAGAAGTAATCGGTGCACGAACATTTGACGATGGTTTCTTCCGAGAACTATTTCTCTCGAAACTACCACAACCGGTGCAAACCGTGTTGGTGACACTCCAGTCAGTCCCACTCGACGACCTGGCAGCTTCAGCAGATAAAATACTGGAGATATCCAGCAGACCCGTCTCCAACGTATATTCTATCTGTGACAAAACAGAGCGCCAGGATTCGGAGGTGACCAAGTTGTGCAACTCTGTGAAACGGTTGCTACGATCTCGAAGTCCTAGATCACGTATCACATCACAGAAACGCACCTTGGCGCATCGCAGCAAGTCGCGTGGTAGCCCTAAAACGAAACCCAACAGGGTGGAAAACCCTGAATGGTGCTGGTTTCATAACACTTACGGGGATGAAGCCAGAAAATGTCGTAAACCATGCCGTTTTAAGAAGGACACGAACTCGGGAAACGGTCACGCCGGCACGTGCTCACGGCAACCGTAGCCGGCGGAAAAAGCCGTTTGCTCTACGTCACCGACATTAAATATCCAGAGTTACAACAACCGAAACACACTCTTCCGTGCATAACCAGCAATGTTATGCATCACGTCACAACCACAGGTCCACCTGTGGCATCCAAAGCTCGCCGTTTAGCCCCCGATAAGCTGCAAACGGCGAAAAATGAATTCGACCATATGCTGGAACTGGGCATTATCAGACCGTCGAACAGTCCTTGGGCATCGCCATTGCACATGGTGCCCAAAAAGGATAGCAACGACTGGCGTCCGACCGGTGATTACCGAAGGCTTAACGCCAAAACAACTCCGGACTGCTACCCTATACCCCACGTTTACGACTTGACCGCAACCTTATGCGGCATGAACATTTTCTCGAAAATCGACTTAGTCAAAGCGTACAACCAGATACCTATGGCAGCAGAAGATATCGCGAAAACAGCCATTATTACTCCTTTTGGCCTGTTTGAATTCCTGCGCATGCCTTTTGGTCTTCGGAATGCAGCACAAACATTCCAACGCTTTATGGACGACGTCTTCCGTGGTCTGAATTTTGTTCATGTCTACATAGATGACTGTCTAATTGCGAGTCCAGATAAGGAAACACACCTTAAACATTTGGACCTCGCATTCGAAAGACTCAAAAAACATGGCATCACAGTTAACTTACAGAAGTGTGAAATAGGAGTTGAATCACTCAGCTTCCTTGGGCATACCATTGACAACAAAGGTATACGCCCATTGAGAGATAAAGTGGCGGCTATCACAAACTATCCAGAGCCGACCACTGTGAAACATCTCCGCACTTTCAATGGCCTGGTAAGTTATTACCGAAGGTTTATCCCTAACTGTGCCTCTGTCATGAGACCACTCACAGATCTACTTCGAGGAACTGCGAAGTTCGTGTCTCTGGACAACGCGGCTAGACTTGCTTTCTCCAAAGTCAAGGAAGCCATTTCGAACGCAACCATGCTTATGCATCATGACCCCAATGCTCCTCTGAGTATTGCTGTTGATGCATCTGATTCAGCAATTGGAGCAGTTTTGCAACAGTTGACTGACAACCAGTGGCAACCGTTAGCCTTTTTCTCGAGGCGGCTGCAAGACGCGGAAACAAGATACAGTACATTTGGTAGGGAACTCCTAGCCATGTACTGTTCTGTACGCCATTTTCGACATTCTGTGGAAGGTCGTGATTTCATTATTTTCACAGACCACAAACCGTTAACGTTTTCCCTCAGCTCGGCGTCTGACAAATACTCCCCTCGTGAGTCGCGACAGCTGGATTACATTTCCCAGTTCACGTCAGACATCCGCCACATTTCTGGAGCAAACAACTCCGCAGCCGACGCACTATCTCGAATAGCTTCGATAAACTATATCGAGGGTATTGATCTCGTTGAACTAGCTCGGCGTCAAAAGGAAGACCTTGAGCTGCATCATGAGTTGTCGTCCACAACTCTCAAACTGCGACTTTGTCCTGTTGGATCAGACAAGGATGCAATTTTGTGCGATGTCTCTGCTAGTCAACCACGCCCAATAGTTCCGAAGAGTTGTCGACGCAACGTCTTCAATACGTTGCACAAACTCTCTCATCCAGGTGTACGAGCCACCATTAGGCTTATCGCACAACGTTTCTGCTGGCCTGGGATGAACAAAGACGTTAAGGAGTGGGCCCAGTCGTGCTTAGCTTGTCAAAAGTGTAAAGTCACGCGACACACGAAAAGCCCTTTAGGCTCATTTCTAGCCCCAGACATGCGTTTCGACCACGTCCATATAGATATTGTAGGACCCCTACCAGAATCTAATGGATGTACCTACCTTTTCACCTGTGTTGATCGTTTCACACGATGGCCGGAAGCAGTACCCATTAAAGATATTACTGCCGAAACAGTTGCTCGTGTTTTCGTCGAAAGATGGATCGCGAACTTCGGATGTCCATCCTACGTCACAACCGACCGTGGGCGCCAATTTGAGTGCGGACTATTTCACGCTCTAACGGCACTTTTAGGTTGCACTCGGTTCCGAACGACAGCCTACCATCCACAAGCAAATGGCATGGTAGAGCGTTTCCATCGACAGCTGAAAGCTTCCCTTTCAGCTACAAACATACCTCAGTGGACCGAGGCTCTGCCTCTAGTCCTACTAGGTATTCGTAACGCGTTGAAAGTTGATGCTGGATGCACTCCTGCAGAACTCGTCTATGGGACCACTCTTCGCCTACCAGGTGAGTTTGTTTCCCCTTCAACTTTCAAACATGTTTCCGATAGGGCATCTTATGTGACTAGGCTTACAAACGCAATGCGTTCAGTTAGGCCTTCTCCGATTAGACCGCAAACGACTGATGTTTTCGTCCACCCCAGTTTACAGAAGACATCACACGTGTTTGTTCGCCACGACGCTGTTCGTCGACCACTTGAACCACCCTACGACGGGCCGTTCAAAGTGATTAAGCGACATGAGAAATTCTATGTAATTGAGCGAGGCGGACGCGAAGATACTGTCAGTATCGACCGTTTGAAACCAGCTTATTTCGAAGGCAACCCCATTGTAAGTGACGTTTCAGCTCGCTACATCCGACCGACGGATGACTCAATTATCGAAATTCTCGACGATGTGCCTGGTAATGCACAGCTGCAACAACCAGCGGCGCAACAAAAAACACGATCAGGTCGAACCGTCAGGTTCCCAGAGTACCTGAAGTCATATTCAACTTAGCTATGTGTGTGCCAACCATTTTTTTTTCGAGGCACTATTTTTCTTATTTACCGGCACAAACCCTCGTACACTTTGCCTTTTTATATCAATTTTTATTTACCATGTAATAAAAACTAAAAAAACCGGCGAAGATAAGCGTAAATTTTTCTTTTTCGACACGTTTATATATAAATAATTCCCATTTTTACGCAACGTTTTCGTGGTATTAAAGACTTTTATTTATATTCCAGGTGCAACGAGCACTGGACGGAACGTCGAAAGGAACAGATGACCGCGACCGACGTACAATTTCATTTATTGTATTTTATTTATTTAATCGCCACGACACCCTAGAATAAGGTTCAGACAACCAGGGGCCACCTCACGCAGTGAGCCCATCGGAAGAGTTTTACCAGTGGAGAAACCACTGGGTTTTTACTTCCGGCTGGTATCGTCTTAGGGTCCTCACGAACCCACTAGGGGGGGAGTGATCTGTAGCGTCATACACTTCCCCAAAATCAATAGCCTAGGGTTTGACGACTTCGACATTGATGCTGACCTTGATAGTTTAACTGGACTCGCTAAGCTGAAGGCACCCGGTCAAGCATCCTCGCCATTTGGCACGCTGTCGTGTTACGTTGCATTGCTCGTATTCGACTCTCTAGCCAGTTAGTTGGAACGCATCGGTATTTTGGCATAACCATCC